AAAATGTGCAGAACTGGCTGCAGCTAGGATCATTTCACACTGAAGTGCATACTGATTCACTGAGGTGAATACTGGTTAACCTGAAAAAAAATCCTAGAAGTTAGGTTTAGAATGATCTGTTTTTTGCTACATATGCAAAAAATATAAAACAAGATACCCATCTAGGACACATACCTGTACTGAAACCCAGACATGGTACGGGCTAGAGTGCAGCTGGCACAGATAAGCCTGGATTCACACTAGCTATGGAAATGCAGATTGCAGTGCACCTATGGAAGCAGGAACTTAGGCTTACCAAGGGCTGCAGCAAGGCTGCAAAGCTCCTGCTGAGGGTAAATGCGCTGGGGCTACAGCGCTACCGACAGCGGGGCAGGCCAGCCTAAAATGAGCCACGGCTGTCAGCAAGCCCAAAGAGCAAAATTAAAATATTCACATTAGTCACTGCATGGTTGTTTGAAAAAAATAAATACAAATCTGCAAGCCAGGGTGGTGATAGAACACCTTCCCTTCCCACCAGAAAGGCAAGAGGGAAGCAATGCTGGCTGCAGTGAAAAAAAAATGGAACTCTGAAATGCAAAATTGAGAGTGTGGGAAATGTGCAGGCTGCTTGCATTTTTGAATAAAATGAGTCATTTTAAAAAATACATTAAAGTGATGCAAGCATATTATAAGTGTCATGACTCCAGTAAAACATAATAATTATTTGGCGCTATTAAAGATTGATAATAACTTTAGATAGTATTAAACTCACACAAAAAGAAAACACAAAGTATTTCTAAGGAAACATGAGCTTGCAGTGCCATTCCCTATAGTAGCGACACTCAGGTCTGTTTCTGCTGTGTCAAAACCAAGGATGGGCTAGTGAACAATTAATCTGGATTCTGTGATTTCACAGAGTAACTTTGAGAGAGCTCGTTAGCCTGTTCTTTACAGGATGTTATGTGTGGGCTCAAGTGTGCAGCCAGGAGTCTTCGTGTAAGATCATTAGCAGACGTTACCACAGAGCGCACTCCTCAAACCCTCACCGTTGTAAACCCACTAGAAGGATCCAGGCCATTAATGCCACTGTTGCTAGCTCTTTATTTAGACTTGTATCATTGAGAGACTATAGAAAAATACTGCTG